GGGTTGAATTTTCTAATTGTGTTTTCTCTGCCTACAGTCCTGATACAAACAGTGATGAATAATAATATACTGGCAAACAGTCTTGGGACAAAGTCAGGGTAGAAGGGACTGACCTAAACCTCACAGATATGTTTTAGGTCAACAACTAGTTCCAAAGAAAAAAGGGTTTTGCTTCTGGCTATATTGTTAAGTTTTTACTATTAAAAGTTTTAAGAATTAGATCTCTCTCTCTCTCTCTCTCTCTCTCTCTCTCTCTCTCTCTCTCTCTCTCTCTGTGTGTGTGTGTGTGTCTGTCTGTCTGTCTGTCTTGGCAATATGCATGAGCAAAAACTCACTGAGCCATTTCACAGCTCTGTACTTTCCTACATAGCTTTGATTTTTCTCAGCTGTGTCATGAATTGCACAAAGAAAAGTTTTGCATGCATTAAACTTGTGATATATAGTTGTCAGTTAGTTGGTGAGTTTACCCAGAATTTCCTAATGGAAACTAGGAAGCGTTCTATGTATCAGATATGCTCCCGGAGTAAAGGGAGGGAGCCACCACTGCCCCACTTGCTAGGGATTTTTTTCTTTAAGCTTTATTTATGTCATGTGAATGGACTTTTTGCCTGCATGTATGTGCTTACACCATGCATGTGTCCAGTGTTCATGCAGGCCGGAAGAGAGTGTCACCCTTTGGAACTGGAGTTATAGTTATAGTTTAGTTATAGTTTAGTTATAGTTGATGGACTGATCCCACACTCTGCAAGAGGAGAAAGTGCTCTCAACATACCATCTCTCTAGCCTCTGATGGTGACTTTCACCTCCAAAATCACAGCCAGTCTCCTGCCTTTCCCTCTGCCTTAGGGATGCTGTTGCTGAGATGAAACATGGTGACAACAAACAAGTTGGGAGGAAAGGGTTTATGTGGCTACACTTCAGCATCACTGTCCATCACTGAAGGGAGTCAGGACAGGAGCTCAAGCAGGGCAGGATCCCAGAGGCAGGAGCAGATGCAGAGGCCATGGAGGGGTGCTCAGCCTGCTTTCTTATAGAACCCAGGACCACAATGGGCCGGGCCCTCCCCTATCAATCACTGATTAAGAAAATGCCCCACAGGGTTGCCTACAGCCGGATCTCATGGAGGCATTTTCTCAGGTGAGGTCCTTTCCTCTCAGACGACTCTCGTTTGTGTGACAGGGTGACATGGGACCAGCCAGCACACTCTCCCCGACTCCTACCTCTTTCTCTCCAACATCCGCCAAGTCTTCCCCCCCCCCTTCCCTGCCTCCTTTCCTCCTTCTTGAGCTTGTTTGTTTAAACGAAAAATGTAGGGCTGTACCCTCAGCCCCACCGTATATTGATTGCATCACATTTTCTGGGTTGGTGACCAGGAATTTCCCTCCTCTTGCTGCTGTCCTTGCCGGTTTCTGACTGCTGAAGTCTCTGAGAGTACGTCTGTGTGTGATACTCTAGACAGCCAGGGCCTGGAATTTCCTTCCTTTACACTCTTCTCCATGACCTGGCATGACCAGCTCAGCAGTGCATCCTGGCACACACATCCAGGCGGATTCCCATGCACAAATATGTACGCTTACAAAGTTCCAAGACAAGTGGGACTAGTTATTGTATACAAGTGCTGTTTTGTGATTTGCCTATTTTCCTTAAGGATATTTAAATGAGGGGTTTCCATGTCCCACATAATGATATACCGATGGTTCTAAATTGTTTTTAATATTTTTTACATTTTTAACCTAAAATTTTAAACATATTTTGCCTTCCCTCCAGCTCTTTCCAGATCCTCCTTGCCTCTGTACACTTAAACTTTATATTAGTTCTCCACCCCCTCATCAAGACAAAAAACTTAAAACCAAAGCACCCCATACAAATAAAAATCAAAACAAAGGCAAAATACCAATAAGGGGAAAAAATGGCCAAACAAGACAAGAAGTCCTCAGATACACCACTGAGGGAGTTTTGTGCTGGACAGCTACTCCTGAGCATGGGGATAGTAGGGTGGTCCTTTCACAGTGGGAGATCTTTCCATATTCTTCTGTTTTCTTCAGCGTTCTAGTTTGTGTCCCCTTGGTCTCCTTCAGAGTTGTCCTACTGCCCTAGCTAAGACTCCAAGTACTATATTGAACAGGTATGGAGAGAGTGCACAGCCTTGTCTCATTCCTGATTTTAGTGGGAATGCTTTGACTTTCTGTTAGGTTAATGTTGATTGGGCTTACTGTTAATTGCCCTTACTATGTTGAAGTTTGTCCCTTGTATTTGTAGTCTTGCCAAGACTTTTTACATGAGGGGCTGATGGATGTTTTTGTAGATGTATTGGATGGGACCAGGCTCCACAACTCCGAATTTTGATTGATTGTGGTTTTTCTGTCTCGTGTGTTACAAGGAGACATTTCCTTGATGAAGGATCCTACAGCTGTCCATGGGATAAGGACAAATCATTATAGATGTTGACCTGGATTGTGCTGTTTTAGTTTACCAGTGGTTGTAGCCTCTCCTCCAATACTTCACTACCGCTCAACAGTTTACTAGGTTTCTAGTGCCAGGCTCCCCCCCCCCCCATTGGGCGTGTGGTAAGTCCAGTTAGAGGACTGTTGGTTACTGCCGTGGTGTATGTGTGTGGCACCTGTGCACTCTTAGGGTCATAGTGCCATGCTGGTCCTTGATGTAGTTCGGAGGCTGGGCTGGGTAGGACTGTGGGTTGCCACCCTCCTTTGGAAGCTTGAATGAAAGTTAGTCTTCAGGGAGGGGAGTTCAGGAAAAAAACTCAGCGAGAATTGCCGAATAGTTCCAAAAAATTCAGTGTCAGTTGGACTCCTACTGTGGTTAATTAGTATGTGTGCATACTTTTTTAAAAAAACAATATTTGATGTTATCTCTAAAGTTTTCTGTTCTTGTTGAGCATACCATGTGCCTATACTTTCAGTAATCCAAATACCTAATCTTAAATTCAAGTCTAGGATGGGCTGCATGATGAGACCCTATTTACCAAAACTAACAAAATTGGACCAAATAAAAAATTCTGTTCTCCTTTGATGATTCCCCATGGGAGGCCTCACCCTCCCAGATGGGAGTTGGGATGGGGAGTTGGGAGGGGGCATGGGAGGATGGGGGAGAGGGGACTGAGATTGGTATGTAAAATAAGATTGATTTTAATTTAAATAAAAATTTGTAGAAAAATAAATAAAAATTCCATTATTATGGATGACCTATCGTGTATATATAAGTTTTTACTTTTAGTTTTTTGAGACAGGGTTTCTCTGTGAAGCCCTGGCTGGCCTTGAACTCACAGAGATCCAACTGCCTCTGCCTCCTGAGTGTGGGGATTAAAGGCTTGCACCACCAATGCCCAGCCAAAATCCATCCTTTAAAAATGATTTTGGCTTTCACAGCAATGTTGTCATGTGAATGGAACATCCCGAGATTAGTCTCTGAAGAGTCTCTCTTCTTCTTTCCTGTGCAGTCGTATTTTTTTTTTAACACTGTGTTACTCAGTATCTGTAAAGTCTTATTAGTATTTTATGATGTTGTGCTGGAATTTAAATTCTCTTAATGGCAGACTGACACTTCTGCAGATCCACATCTTCTTATTCAGAAATGTTCCCACTTTAATTCAGATCTCCAGGGCCTTGTTTAGTGTATGTCAGCCCAAACATCTTATGCATTTTTTACATTTATTTACTTGTGCGGGTGCACCTGAACGCACAAGTGTGTGGAGTTCGCTCAGAGGACAGCTTGGCGGAAGTTGGTCGTCTCCACTCTGTGGGCCCTAGAGATCAAACCCAGATCATCAGGCTAGGCGTTGAGTTCCTTACCTGCTGAGGCACCCGGCTGGCTTTGTACTCCTAAACATTGTATCTGTTACTGTTACTACTAGAATTAAGTCTATTTTTCATTGTTTATTACTGTGCATAAGGAGGCTTTAATGTAAGTAAATATTTGTTGGTGTATTTATTATTGTACACACTGATGCATTTCATGAAGACTTTTTCATATGCAGGTATTTCATGGGCTTTAGCCAGATTACCCCGGACACTCTACCCTTCCTCCTCCTCCCCCATTCTCGTTGTTCTTATCCATCCCCCCAGACAGTCTGAATTCTGCTCTCGTGTTCCAAATACACGTGTGATTTTTCTGTTCTTATATAAAACTTGGAATCCCTCAGTGAGAGTAAGCATGCTATATTTGTCTTCCTGAGTCTGACTTACCTTTCCTAATATGATGACCTCCACTTGCATCCATTTTTCTGCGAGTGATAGTATTTTATTCCTAATGACTGAGTAGAACTCCAGGGCATAGAGATAGCATGTTTTTTTTTTTTTTTTTTTTTTTTTTTTTTAATTCCTTTTTCCATTGATTCCATGTCTTGACCCTAAGTTCTGCTGTAAAGAGATGTGAGATGTCTCTGATATATTGCTCTAGAGTGCTTTGGTGTATCTTGGGAATGATGTAGCTTGACCATGCAGTCCCGTGCTGACTTCCATGGTGATTGGACTAATTCACGTTCCCACCAGCAGTGTACAGGACTCTGTTCCCCCGTATTCTTGCCATCATTTGCTGCTACTTGTTTTCTCAATGGTAGCTGTTCTGACTGGAGTAAGGTGGAGTAAGACTTTTGATTCTTTGTAATAGAGCTGGTCCAGCATCCATTAGCTATATAGTATATTTATAATGGAGTGAGTGTCACCACTGGAGATATAATTAGCATATAATAACTTTACTGTGTTTAGTAGTTACGTTTTAAACAGTATAATAAACTGGTGAAAATAATTGTAATGATACCTTAAGCTCACATATTCAAAATGTCTTATTTCAACACAGAAACACATTAGTAAGACATCATAACACTCTGGTGGTTTGGGGTGTGAATGTAGACAATCGATAGAGAATCCTCACATAATGAACTTGTTTTAAGTTAAAAATGTGTTTTGAAGTTGTAAGCATGAACATATAGGATACTCGACATTGTTGGCGGTACAGTCCTAACTATGTGCTTTCCTTCCAAGCGGGGCTCTGGACTGTCTTCACGCTCGGCGGGACAAGCAGCAAAGCGGCTGCCTCTCCAGAACTCACTTCCCCTCTGGCCAACCAGAGTCTCCTGCTTCTGCTGGTGCTGGTGAACCTGACAGATGCCCCGGACACGCCAAACCCCTACAGACAAGCCGTCACATCCTTTAAGAACACGCAAGGTTGGTGGGGATCCTTTGAGTCTCTTCCCAGTAAGCAGAGACTTGTCCTCTCGGGTCTGCTTATCACTGTGTGGTCTCGGCTGCGAGTGTCCATTAGAAGAAGTTGGAATGTGCCTTCTGCCAGTTTCAAATCTCAGGGAGGTAAAAGAATTCTTAGGAAAATTCCGTGGTCCTTTATATCCATTAAATTTACATTAAGTTCAAAGTAGCTTGAACTTAAAAGTTAGGGATAAGAATTAGCTGTGAAGCCTATGTGATAGGTGGTTTTAAAATTTCGAAGGACTAAATATTGTAACAGAAATCAACAAACTTTTTGTTGTTGTTGTTGTTGTTTTGGTCCAGTTGATGTAGTTGGGTATGGGGTATTAGAAGTTTGTATTCTGAAGGGAAGGTTCCTATAAGTATAGGTGGCCAAGGTGCATCCAACACTCATATAATATTAGGATAATCGAGGAGTGCAGTTATTGGGTAGAATCAGGAAGCATCTGGTTCTGTGTACCACGTCCTTTGCTGACCTATTCTAGTTTCTCGCAGTCAGAGAACTGGTGCTGAGGAGCCACACCTCTGTCTCTTTTGAAAGCATCACATGTAGCGTCCTTATCCATATGCGCTGCTGTAACGAAGCCCTCGAGTCCGGGTAATTTGTAAAGACCAGAGCTTTATTTCTCACAGTGCTAGAGACTAGGAAGTAGAAGATCAAAGCCCCAGCAAGTGCAGGGCCTGTGAGGGCCCCACCTGTGAGGGTCCCACCTGTGAGGGCCCCACCTGTGAGCATCACCACCTGTGAGCATCACCACCTGTGAGGGTCCCACCTGTGAGGGTCCCACCTGTGAGCATCACCACCTGTGAGCATCACCACCTGTGAGGGCCCCACCTGTGAGCATCACCACCTGTGAGCATCACCACCTGTGAGGGTCCCACCTGTGAGCATCACCACCTGTGAGGGCCCCACCTGTGAGCATCACCACCTGTGAGCATCACCACCTGTGAGGGTCCCACCTGTGAGGGTCCCACCTGTGAGGGTCCCACCTGTGAGCATCACCACCTGTGAGGGCCTCACCTGTGAGGGTCCCACCTGTGAGCATCACCACCTGTGAGCATCACCACCTATGAGGGTCCCACCTGTGAGCATCACCACCTGTGAGCATCACCATCTGTGAGGGCCTCACCTGTGAGGGTCCCAGCTGTGAGCATCACCACCTGTGAGCATCACCACCTGTGAGGGTCCCACCTGTGAGGGTCCCACCTGTGAGCATCACCACCTGTGAGGGCCTCACCTGTGAGGGTCCCACCTGTGAGCATCACCACCTGTGAGCATCACCACCTATGAGGGTCCCACCTGTGAGCATCACCACCTGTGAGCATCACCACCTGTGAGCATCACCATCTGTGAGGGCCTCACCTGTGAGGGTCCCAGCTGTGAGCATCACCACCTGTGAGCATCACCACCTGTGAGGGCCCCAGCTGTGAGGGCCCCACCTGTGAGCATCACCACCTGTGAGCATCACCACCTGTGAGCATCACCACCTGTGAGCATCACCACCTGTGAGGGCCCCAGCTGTGAGGGCCCCAGCTGTGAGGGCCCCAGCTGTGAGGGCCCCACCTGTGAGCATCACCACCTGTGAGCATCACCACCTGTGAGCATCACCACCTGTGAGGGCCCCAGCTGTGAGCATCACCACCTGTGAGGGCCCCAGCTGTGAGGGCCCCAGCTGTGAGCATCACCACCTGTGAGGGCCCCAGCTGTGAGCATCACCACCTGTGAGCATCACCACCTGTGAGCATCACCAGCTGTGAGGGTCCCATCTCCAGTTCTGAGGTGATGCCTCGGTGCTGTATTCTCACATCGTGGAAGGGATGGAAGGCTAATAATGGTGAAGCTACGTGAAGCCTCTTTTACAGAGGCCTTAACCCCACTCACAGGGGAGGCGCATTCATGCCTGAATCACTTCCTGAAAACCTGAGGACTGCATTGGCAGCTAAGCTTTAGTGTGCATTTGGGGGAGGACAGGTGTGAGTAGGGGGAGGGGGCCAGTGAGAGTCCATGGTAGCAAGTGAAAGCTCCTGTGTTCAGTGGTGTGTTCTGCTCTGTTACTATACTCTTCCTTGGTGATAGTGTTACTTAATGGCTAAGAAAGCTCACTTTGGAGCTAAGCTGACCTGGATTCATACCATACCCTGGTCAGTCAGTTCAGGGTGAGACTTCGGCAGTTTGTATAATCTCAAGAGTCCTCAGTGGTGTCGCCTGCAATTTGGACAAGTCATCACACAGCACGTTACATACATACCAAGCTAGAGTAGAGTAGAAAACACAGCAAGGGCTCTGTATGGTCTCTCCCCTTGGAACTTCTGCCACTCAGGCCAGCGGTTCACGGGCAGTCACAGTTGGACCCTGCTCGACCTGACTTGGACTTGACCTTGTCTGAACTCATCCTCCCTGGAGGCTGTACAGCAGCACAGTAATCCCAAGTACTGACTGACAGCAGGGTCAGACTATCGTCCGTCTCAGGTGGTCCCTTAAGAAATGTTGTTCCTGTGAGGAGCGGAGCAGTGTGATGCAGGGGTCAGCCTGGGTTTACTCGAGATGACCTGGGTGGGACATTTTATTTAATCTCTTTAAGCTTCTCTTTCATCTTTCTCAAAGATGGGCAGAATAACAACTCAGCTGTTGTACAGATTAAATAAGGCATAAAAGACAAACACTTTGGCCGATTCATGTCACCTGTTGGCTAAGCACATGTAGATATTGTGGCTACACACAGAAAACACGTATGTAGGGGGAATGGAATGTAGCATAGGTTGCCTAGTTACTCTACTCTGCTGTTATTGTGAAGAACTGTGCCATCCAGACTCTCCGCCCGTGATTCCTATGAAAATTGTTTATATGTGTGTCTTTGCTGTGTCACTTATTTGTCTTTGTGCTGTGACACACAGACAGCAGGTCAAGGCAGGAGGGTTTACTCCGGCCCTGTACGGCCAACATTCTGGGGTAGTTTAATTCTGGTGCTGTAATAAAACACTCCGACCAAAACAAACTTGGAGAGAAAAGGGTATATTTGGCCTACTCTTCCAGATCACAATTCATCACTGAGGAAAGTCAGCACAAGAGCTCAAGGAGAAGCCATGAAGCCAGCATTGTGTGCTAGCTTGTTCTCTGGCTCACGCAAGCTTTACTAGTTTTCTTTTCTTGTTCAGTCCATGAGCTTTATTGGAATTAAGTACAGGAATATGGAGAAGCAGTTGTTTTCCAGAGCATAAGGGACTCAAACACAGTTGCTATCATGAGATTCAAAACCAGCATGTGATTTAGCTAATTAATTATGCACACATGGAGCATACTACATATCTGTAGGCATATCTCCAAGTTAAAGAGCATGCTATTTTGATGGCAAAAATCCTCTTTTCAGGTGCATGACTTGTCTGAGTTTCTTTTTTATTATTATTATTATTATTATTATTATTATATTTTTTTATTTTACATGTCAATCCCAGTTCCCTCTCCCTCCCTCCTCCTCCCTCCCTTTCTCTTACCCTCTCTCTCCACTTACATGCACCTTGACCACCCTCCCCTCCTATCTCCCCACCCCAATTCCACATGTAGGATTATGCCATCCAGGAGGAGTCATGTAAATCTATCAAGACATTTGAAGTAGGGACTAGGACTTCTCTCCTGTCTCTAGGTTAAAGGAGTATCCCTCCATGGGGAATGTTTCCACAGGGTCCTTTTGTGCACTAGGAATACATCCCGATTCTAATGTCTGAGGTCCCTTAGACTGCTCAGTCCTTCTGGCTGAGACCCATATTCAGGGGGTCTGAGTCAGTCCCATGGTGGCTTCCCAGCTATCAGTCTTGGGGCCCGTTAGCTCCTCCTTGTTCAGGTCAGCTGTTTCTATGTGTTTCTACAGCCTGGTCTTGTCCTCTCCATCTGCATCTGAGTTCTAGTTTGACTCAGTGTTTAGTTATGAGTGTTTGCTTCTGCTTCCAACAGGTGCTAGATGAGGGCTCCATGATGGTGGATAAGTTAGTTGTTGATCTCACTATCCGGGAAGGGCATTTATGGAAACCTTTCCACTGTTGCTCAGATTGTTAGTTGGAGTCAGTCTTGTAGGTCTCTAGACCTTTCTTTCTTTAGGTTCAGTTTTCTCTTCAAACCAATAATGGCTCACTCTTTTATGTTCTCTCTCTCTCTCTCTCTCTCTCTCTCTCTCTCTCTCTCTCTCTCTCTCTCTCCTCCTGTCTTCTATTCCTACCCTGGCTCAATCTCCCTAGTCGCACATGCTTTCCTCTCCTCCTAGTTCTCTCTCCATTCACTGCCCCCCACTTCCCCTGTGCTCTGGGGGACTTGTCCCTTCCCCCTTCTGTGAGGGACTTTATATGAATCTCTTAGAATCCACCTTGTATCCTAGTTCCTCTGGCGGTGTGAATTATAGACCTTTGCTCTAGGTCTAAAACCCATATATGAGTGAGTACATACCGTGTTCCTCTTTTTGAGACTGGGCTACCTCACGTGAGTACATACCGTGTTCCTCTTTTTGTGACTGGGCTACCTCACTCAGGATGGCTTCTTCAAGTGCCATCCACTTGCCCTAGTCGTCTTATACTTCCTAGAGCCACCTGCTCAGGTACGGTGCCGCCCACAGTGGGCTGGGCTCTTCTGCACCAGTTACTAGTAACAACAGCTCCACACAGTTATGCCCATGGGCCAGTCTGATCTCGGTACTTCCTCAGTCTCTAGATACTTTACTCTCGATGACGGCAGACCGCATCAGGTTGACAATTAGATAGAGCTAGTTAGGATGTGGGGTCTCTTATTGCAACTTATAATTTACTGCAGCTCCATGCAGTGGCCTCTCGGGGCCTTCTTGCAGGAGCTGTTACGCTTTACCCAGCCTCTCTGGAACCGTGAGTACGTGGTTGAGTACCATGACGCTGTCAGTGTTTCATTCACGCTTACATATGCAGCGCTACTGCCTGCTCAGGATGGAGCCTGGACGCCTGGACACATTGGCCCCGTGCCGATGCTAGGGAAACACAGCCTCCCTGCTTGCTACCCAGCTGCGGAGCAGGCACGAAGGTCTTTAGTAAAGACACAGGGTTTGTCCTCTGTGCTCTTGCTTGAAACTTCAGACTCACGCATGTTCCTCCTGAGACGTCATGTTTTTCCTTATCTTTCCCCTCCACTTTTTGCTCCCTCACTGTGGATCTGGACGAGAGCAGTGAGTAATGACATTGCCATAGCCTGGATGCTATGATGTATTGACGTTGTCTCTGTGAAACAAATTAATCCATTATCTTTCAATCAGCATCACTCAGGAGTTGAGGTAGCCCAGTGAGTGCAAGCAATTAATGCAAAAGCAGGAGAGGCTGAGTTCACGTCAGAACCGTGCATAACCAAGGCATAGGTGCATGTGTCTGCAGCCCTGGTATTGCAGTGTGGACAGGCAAATCTGAAGCTCACTAGCCAGCTTTGCTGAAGTAACTAGCTTCACCCTCTCAGCAAATATGGTAGAGAGCGATAGAGGGAGGCATCCAACGATTCACTTGGCCTCAGCAGGCATGTACACACTCACACACCCACTCATGCATGCGCTCCAGCTCTCTCTTACACATGCGCACATGCACACACACGCATGCACACACACGGGCACACACATGATTGAACTAATTAGTTGATTAGTTGAACGTCACTCAGGTTAAGATGGCTGAGCTATGATGTATACTTCTTATCATTTAGAAACTTTAGTAAGTTTCTTAGCAGTCGTCGTCAGTTATCTTTAAGTTTTTAGTTGTTTTGACGGTTGTGTGTGTGTGTCTCTGTGCGGGTGTGGGCGTGTGTGTGTCGGGCACTCATGGCAGCCAGATGGTGTTGTTTTCTGAGAGCTGCAGTTACACCTGGTTGTGAGCCACCGAAGTCGGGGTAGGGAAGCAGGCAGGCTCTGCCAGAGCCGTTTGCAACACTGAGCCTTCTCTCCAACCCCTTCAGTTTCGTCTACATAAAACTTTTATAGAAGTTGTATGGTAGGTAGTTGCCTTTGGCTTGCTGTATTTCATATATTGATTTTTACTTTATTTTAAAACGAGCCAAGCTATACGTTGTTTTTCTAGCCACTTTTCTTAAAAATGAATTAATAATTTTAGTGAATGTGTCAGCCATGGTTTACTTATTTGTGGAACCGTAACTATTTATGTATAAACGCGCTACTCAGAAAATACTCCTATGCTCTTTCTAATTCATTTTTGTGCTTACTTTCTGTGTTTTAGACAGCAGTCCTGTCCCCTCGTCGATTCCACACGCCTTCCAGATTAACTTCAACAGTTTGTACACAGCCCTGTGTGAGCAGCAGGCGTCCGATCAAGCCACGCTGCTCTTGTACACCCTGCTCCATCAGAACAGCAACGTCAGGACCTACATGTTGGCTCGAACAGATATGGAAAATCTTGTAAGTATCACAAGAAATGAGCGGTCTGAGTCTTGTGACATTACCAAGAGTGACTTATTTTTTTTTCCCCAAGAGGATGAGTGTGCTCATCTGACGGGAGATGTTACCAGATGTAGGCAGAACTGAGTGGGCAGCCTCAGTCAGTGTGACAAATCCCTGTCCCTGAGGCCTTTTGAAGCCCCGTGGCCCAGGTTCCACCTGAGTAGGTACTCTAAGAATCACCCTCTGTAGCCCTCAAGGACAGTTTTATGTCTTCTTGTCCCTTCCCGAGCGTGTGCGGAGGCCTGTCCCCTGCTCATGTAATTGGTCTTGATTGCCACCGTCGCCGCTGACAGTGATGAAAGCAAGGGTGGGTGACTGTTTCAGCTTAGTCCCCTGGGGTCCCTCGTCGTCCCCACAGCCTGGACGCCGGCGCCCTCGGATTGCAACTCCTGGACTGCGAGTCATTTTCCGGCACCTGGCCAGGCACCACTTAAAGGTCCACTCTGAATAGAATCAGTTTCAGTCTGTCTTGGCAGACAGATGTCCTTTAGGCAGTCAGTGATCTCCACTGGAGCAGTGTCTACCATCAGAGTTCCGTAAAGGGAAGAGTAGACCACCACACCGGGATATGCTTGAAATACTGTGAGCTGTCCGTCATTAACCTGTGTCCCCTCAGCCTCGGTTCTACAGGTTGAACAAGTTTCACTGGCCTTTGGAAGCATCTTTTATTAGTTTTGAATACTATGTAAATGCTGAAGAAACATAAGATACTAGCATTTTTACCATATTCTTTATCACAATGACATTAAGACAGGAAGTGTGATGAATAAAAATCTGTGTCCACACCAGAAAGGTGAGGAAAGCATTGGCTCAAATAGCACAATCTGGTGTGGAATTCCTCCAGTCACGGGGAACCGTGACCCCTGGTGCTCATGCGCACATACATATGCCACCAGAAGATGTTGGAGCCCCAGGTCCTTTGCAGAAGCATGGTGCGGTTTATTGCATCTTACAGCTTGTAGAATACTTTCCAAGGGAGTCAGGGCGGGGACCTGGAGGTGAGGACTGAAGAGGATGGCTTTGCCCACTTTGCTTGCTTTCCTTGATTTTTCTCAGCCTCCTTTCTTAAAACAGCACGACTCTAGCCAGGGTAGGCTCTCACCACAGTGAGCTGGGGCGTCCTGTATCAGCCATCAGTCAAGAAAGTGCACACAGACTTGCTCACAGGCCAGTCTAGTGGGGCATTTTCTCAGTCAAGGTTGCCTCTTTGAAAAGGACTCTAGCTTATGTCAAGCTGACGTAAAACTGGCCAGCACAGTGTGTGTGGTAGTTTCATGTATGGATGGGGTAATACACTTTTAGTGCTGGTTCCCCTCGTGAGTACAGAATGAACAAACTGACAGTGTCGAAGGCATGGTTAGAAATAGGTTTGTGCATCTGTGAGCAGAGTCTATGGGTTTGTGCATCTGTGAGCAGAGTCTTAGAGTGAGGTGTGTGACTGACACACTGTGGGTGTGCTCTTAGCCCGCACGCCGAGAAGACGCACTGTGGGCAGCAATAGTCCCTTTCATTAATTACTTACCTAAAGTGCTCTCGTGGATTGTTAGCATCGAAGTGCAAGTGGCATGATGCTTCAAAATGATGAGCAGCCAAGCTTTGCTGAACATACCCGTTTCTTTCTTCCTTTTATACTTAGAGGAGGTTGTTCTGACATCTACAAGTCTTCCAACAGGGTCTCTGGCAAGACCTTTACAGAGTTAGTGATGACTTTCTTGCTTGGGACTTGAGTTACATGTGTGGAGAGTATGTGCAGCCAAGTGAATGTTCATCCTTTTTATTTACAAAAACTGCATGACCTTAGAGCAAAGCATACAAAATGCAGGTTTAAAGCTCTCATCGCGTATTGAAATGGTTTAATATGATTTTTTTTAATCTCCTAGGTATTACCAATTCTTGAGATTCTGTATCATGTTGAGGAAAGAAATTCACACCATGTATATATGGCTCTTATAATACTGTTGATCCTTACGGAAGACGATGGCTTCAATAGGTCTATTCACGAAGTGGTAAGTTCCCATGACTGACGGGTACAGACAGACGTTTACTGTGTACTTGGCCTCAGTGTTCCTCTGCTTTCCTTCTGGGAGAGTTGTCTGGGAGGACTTGAATTAGAGATGGTGTTTCCTTAGTTTCATGAGCAAGTGTCATGTCTTTTTACCCTCATTCTCAACAACGATTAGCTACTGTCTTTATTATATGTTTTTTTCTTTTTTGTACAATATACTTGGTTACATGAGAATACTTTCATATGAAAATACATTGTATTTTGAGCATTTGCTTATTTCTGTCTTTATCCCCCCCAGGATAATTTCACTTCTACTGTAATATCATATGTATATACACGATTTTATGTATTTGAAGCAGGAGAGAACGTTTGTCATTTGTCTGAGACTGACTTAATTCACTTAATGTGGTTATCTTCAGTTGTACCCATTTTCTTGAAAATGATGTAATTTTGTTCTTTGTATTGTAGTTATTTTGGGACAGGGTCTTAAGTAACCCAAATTGGCTCCGAACTATCCATGTTGGTGAGGCTTGAATTCCTGGTCTTTCTGCCTCTGCCTCCCCGATGCTGGGGAGTCACGGGTGTGCATTAGCACACCTAGCTAACTTCGTTCTTAATGGCTGAAAAAAATTCCATTGTGTGTATAAACTGCATTTTCTTCTCCCATGTAATTGATGAGCACTTAGGTCAGCTCCATAATTTAGCAACCATGAATAGAGCTGTTGTAAGCATGATGGGCAAGTGTCTTTGTGACACGTTAACTTGGAGGCCTTAAGGGTAAATAGCCAAAAGTGGCTTACGACCAAAAGGATCAAATGTTATATCTAGTTTTAGTTTTTTGAGGAACTACCATATTAATTTCCATAATAGCTAGACCTAGTTTGAATCCCCACAAGAAGTGTTTGGGATTTCTCTTTTAAAAGAAGTGTTTGTGAGCTCAGGGGGTCAGGATAAACGGTGTCCGTTTGCCACACCATCAGCGCTTGTTATTGTGTTCTAAATGGCTGCCATTCTGACTGGGAGACGGTGTAAATCTCTTGATTGTTTTTATTCGAATTTCTCTGAAGTTGTGTGTATCTCGGCTTTTCTTCAATTTTCCTACTCATATCATCCATCCATTTATCGACTGGGTTGTTTGCTTTCTTGTTATTTAATATTTTGAGCCCCTCCTGTATTCTAGTAGTCAGTCTTCTGTGAGATGTGTAGGTAGCAATGATTTCCTCTCATCCTGCAAGTTGTCTCTTCACTAGAGAGTACATTTGTCAATTGTGATTACTTCCTGAATAACGGGAGTCCTGTGCAGGATGCCCTCCCTATGCCAGTATCTTGAGTTAGTTTTCCTCTGTCAGCTTCAGAATTTTACATCTGATCTATTTGGAGTTGGTTTTTGTGCAGGGTTTTATTCTATGTGCGGATTTACAGTTTTCCCAGCACCATTTGTTGAAGAAAACATCTTTTCTCCAATGTATAGTTTTGCTGTCTGTATGAGATATGTAAATATCTATATATCACACCTCTTAAAAGTTGACTTATTGAGCTGGAGGGATAGCTTAGCCGTTAAAGGCTAGGCTCACAGCCAACAATATAAAAGTTGACTTATTTATATTATTGGTAGGTTGTAAGGATTCCTTACATATTTTCCCATTCTTAGGATAAACCATGAGTGGTCATGGTGTGTTAATTTGTTGTGTTCATCTGAGTTTTGTTAGCTGTCTCTGAAGGGATTTCTGTACCCTTCTAAGATAACCTTTCTTGCCTTGGTACTTGTTGGCAGCTGGAAACAGCCCTAGGAGAACGTGGGGTGTCTCTTCTTGAGCGCTGGGCTCACAGTTTCCCTGGGTGAGCGCTCCTGAGTATCTGTAGAGGTTCTTTACATTCTGTAGGGAACGTTCTGCCTTTCAGAACCTGCTCTGTCTTACTTTTGCTTTCTGATTGCTAAGCTGTTTGCCTTTCCTGTTCCTTTTTTCTTGTGTGCTGTGTCTCTTTCATGTACATCTCCTCTTCGTCTACTAGTGGTAACAGTAGATACACACATCTCCTCTTTCTCTACAAATGATATCTTTAGATATATACAACTCCTCTTTCTCTACTAATGGTACCTTTAGATATACACATCTCCTCCTGTTTACTAATGATACCTTTAGATATACACATCTCCTCCTGTTTACTAATGATACCTTTAGATATACACATCTCCTCCTGTTTACTAATGATACCTTTAGATATACACATCTCCTCCTATTTACTAATGATACCTTTAGATATACACATCTCCTCCTGTTTACTAATGATATCAGTAGATATATACATCTCCTCCTATTTACTAATGATACCTTTAGATATACACATCTCCTCCTGTTTACTAATGATATCAGTAGATATATACATCTCCTCCTATTTACTAATGATACCTTTAGATATACACATCTCCTCCTGTTTACTAATGATACCTGTAGATATACACATCTCCTCCTATTTACTAATGATACCTTTAGATATACACATCTCCTCCTATTTACTAATGATACCTTTAGATATACACATCTCCTCCTGTTTACTAATGATATCAGTAGATATATACATCTCCTCCTATTTACTAATGATACCTTTAGATATACACATCTCCTCCTGTTTACTAATGATATCAGTAGATATATACATCTCCTCCTATTTACTAATGATACCTTTAGATATACACATCTCCTCCTGTTTACTAATGATATCAGTAGATATATACATCTCCTCCTATTTACTAATGATACCTTTAGATATACACATCTCCTCCTGTTTACTAATGATATCAGTAGATATATACATCTCCTCCTATTTACTAATGATATCAGTAGATATACACATCTCCTCCTGTTTACTAATGATATCAGAGGATATACACATCACCTCCTTGCCTACTAATGATATTAGTAGGTGGCCTCTTGATTTGCAGACCTGGTTTTCTCTCCCTCATCTATTTAGAAAAAGAGGAATAAACTTATTAGCGCCCTTTGCTTAACAGAACTGAAGATCTTCTCTCACTTTCTTACTGCTTAATTTACCTGTAGAGCAGAACTAGACTTACCAGAGAATGGGAGACACACATTTTTTTCCTAAGGGAGTCATTTTTACTCAAACTTTTCTTCCTCATTGCAGATATTAAAAAACATTACTTGGTATTCAGAACGAGTCTTAACTGAAATTTCCCTGGGGAGTCTCCTAATTCTGGTCGTAATAAGAACCATACAATACAATATGACTAGGACAAGAGTAAGTATCCTATAGCTATTTTTTCTGCCTTTATGTAGTTAAGACCATGTTGTAAAGCCCATAAAATGTAGTTATGAAATGTGCTAGAGAATTTAAATTTATTCTCATGGAATGTGCTAGAAAAATTCAGAACAGCACTTACCATGCATACTACATGATTATACTGCCATGTCTGTTTCTTAATATATACTAGTTGTTCGATGCAGTATACTTTGCATGAAATGGAGAACAAGCAAAGAAGCGCATTGAGATCAAAGCCCTTGCTGAACTGATGACACTGGTTTGTTCTTTTAAAGCAACAATCAAATACATAATAGGTGAATGTGAGAAGATACAAACTCAGACCCGGAAGAAATGTACAAGGAGCTGGGTTTGCCGGGCTGGCAGAGCTAGCTGGCACTCATAGGGCCCTGGGCTCGCCACAGCACTGCAGAAACTGAACATGGATGTATGTGCCCGCCAGTCACTTCAGGCTCATCCTCTGCTACAGAGCAGTTTTGTTTTGTTGAGACAGGACCTTGCCGTGTAGCCCTGGCTGGCCTGTAACTGGCTATGTAGACCAGGCTGGCTTTGACTCACAGACAGTCCCCTGCCTCTGCTTCCTTCCCTAGTGGCAGAATTAAAGGTGTATGCCACAATGTCCACCATTCATGGGGGATTTGAGGCCAGCCTGAACTACATGAGATCCTGTCTTCAAAACAGAGAAAAACAATCCCCCCAAGTACAAGACTTCAAATGCCTTGAGAAGTTAAAAGAGCATAATTCCACAGAATTCTGTAAATTTTCAGTCCTAGTCAGTAGAAATACATTACCAAGGAAAGAATGTCCAGAGCCCACAGCTACGGGGTTGTTTCCTTGTGTTTCTGTCTGTGAGCTGGTGTAGATGTGTATCCCAGTTTCCTTTCATCTGAGACCATACGAGGCAGCTGTGTTTTAGGAAGAAGTGCTGTGTTTTACAAAGACGGAAGAGCATACAGGCTGTGCCGTGTGTGGCCGGAGGGCCTAGAGCACACTGTAGAAGCATTAACTGCTCTGCTGCAGATGTTTCGTTTGTCCCGTGATGGGAACGATCTTCTGTCCCACGGTTTTTCATGCCCATTGCCTCCAAATGACTGTGGAAACACTGGCTTCTCAGTGCTTTAGAGATTTGGGAACTAGAGGACATAGATCCTGAGCATTTTTCTAACTATCATTAGGGACAGTTGGTGGTACGTTTGCTTTCAGTTAGCCTTCCTCGAAGCATGGAGAAGACCTGACATGTGTTTTAAATTTTCCCTCCCCACAGGACAAGTACCTGCACACAAATTGTTTGGCAGCTTTAGCAAACATGTCAGCACAGTTTCGCTCTCTCCATCAGTACGCCGCCCAGAGGATCATCAGGTAAGTAGAACTTCAAAGCACACACCAAGCTTTGCCTTTTGGCTGGTCTTCTGAGAAGGGTACCATGCCAGTGTCCCTTTTAAACATGCACAAGAAGGGCAGGTTTCCCTCAGTGTCCCCCTACTTGAGGGTACCTTGCTCTGTCGTATTTCCTAACCTGCTTGTTGATTACAGTATTTGTGACATTTGTGCTTGTTCATTTATGAACTGGAGTGCTAGGTTTCAGTTGAGGTTGTATCTCAGCTTCCCAGAGGCCCACCCAGGCACTTCGGTAGCAATTCAAGTGGAACCTGAACATCTGTGCTCAGTATTTCGTAGAGCTCCCGAACACACTTTCACAGCTACCCGAGCTTGTCTGAGGATTTTCTTTTTTTTACTTTTGGGTAGGGTCTTATGCAACTGCTATACCAGCGAGCCACACCCTCTGCCAAGAGATTCTCTCTTACACTTTAACTTTGTCATGATCCCCTGTTAGTGCCTAGCGGCTGCCGATGTCATTTGCATACATTTGTTATATTGCAGTTTTGTATGGTAAAATCATGGGTCAGCAGAGCTGCAGTCTTTCCCAGAGGTTGCTGGGAGAGCCTGTTTTCCAGCTGTCAGGAGCACCTTGTTCCTTGACTCATGGCCTCTGCCACCAGCGGGAGTGTGCGGCTGAGTCGCACTCACCAATCCAGCCACCTTTTTGTGGCTCTTTCATGACCCTGCATAGCGAACCCACAATCTCCTCACCATCTTAATGTCCTTACAGAATCGTAACTGCGGGTGCCCCTTTGCCAAGTACTGTAACATGTTAAATAAAGTTTGGGGAGGAGTTATGAGTTGGCCTGCCATAACAGCCGTCACTAGGAAGCTCCATCATCACCCCAGCTCCTTTTCCAAGCATATATGATCTTCAAAGATGGGAAAGTTAATTATCAGATCATAAATACCATTTGCAGGGACTTCTAATTTATATGGGTTACTTTCTGTTTTCCAGTAGGCTGCTCAATATGGTCTTAGCGTTTTCCAAGTGAAACATGCATGTAGCAGGGAAATTGGTTTTTGTTTTTGTTTTTTCTTTAATTCTTACTCCTAGGTCAGTGAAGAATGTTTTCCTTCTTTAATGTTGGAGATTGAATGGAAGACTTTGCTCAGGTTATGCGTTGGTTCTACTACTAAATCCAGCCCTCAGGTTTTTGTTTGTCTTTTGTTTGTTTGTTTGTTTGTTTGTTTTTGTTTTTTGGAGTGGGGGATTGACATAGGGTCTCCCTGTGAATCTCAGGTTGGCCTTGAATCTACCCGCAATCCTCTTGCCTCCGCTACCTGGGTACATCTCTCAGCAGTGGTCATGATTAGAAGGGATCTGTGTAAAAATTACCAGTCCCAGGAGAGAAAGAGAAGGAAAGGTAGAGAGAGAGGATGTGTTCAGTGGACCATATACACACACCTGTGTAAAAATACCTTCGTATAGGCCAGCACCGTGTGCAATGGATAATAACTGAAAATAACTAAGGAACTGTAAATACATTCACAGTCTTCTTAGTTGGCGTGCTGCGGACCTAGAAGGGTTCAGAGGAAGAAGCAGGATGAACCGGTGACTTATTATGGAGGGCCTTGAGTGTTAGTCTCACAGTTCCAGATAATAGAAGGAAGAGAGATTGGGCGGTCTGGTTTTTAATAACAAAACAGTGAATGAATGAGTTGTAAATGGGATTCATGGAAAAGAACTGTGGATTTATAGTCATCCATTCAGCCAGCAACAGCGGTGTATGCTATTGATCACATTGGAACAGCAACTCTAGCCAGTCCTCTGTTCTTGCTGCTGGCGATGCTTGTCTGAGTACTGTGTTTGAGTGGACAGAGCATCCTTGTCATCCAGGAGGGAGCTCATGAAGCAGCCTCCTCTCACATCGTCTTCAAGAGCTTTATATGCGCATTGAAAGTCTGGGTCTGGAAACCAAGGTTTATTCTCCGAGAAAATAGTTGAGTTGGAAGTGGAGGCCAGAGTTGTGCGTATTGAGAGAACTCATTTTCTCCCAAATGTTGGTGTCTAGGGTGGGACTGTAGTGCATGACAAGGAATGCATAACCGGGCGGTGCAGACACCAGGGCTTGTGGTGCCCGGCCGCGCTGAATTGCTCTGTGCTCAGTGACTCCTTCCACTGGGAAACTTCATGGCTACGTTCTAGCTGCTCCTTCAGGAAAAATCTGCACAATTTTACATATGTCTCCTGTAAAACTCAGAAGAGCCAGTATTTTATGTGATCTTCAGCAAGGACAAGAGTCACATATTTTGTGGCTGTGAGAGGATTTATACAATTTAAAAACCTTAGTCGGGCACAAATATAAGAATGCCCATGTCAGTAGAGCGCCCATCTCAGCAAAATGCAGGGAAGGACACTGTGCACGGGCTCTTTTTCTTTCAAATCCATGGATATGGACAGCTGAAAGAAAGCATTGAGAATTAGAGGGAACGTCATTCTCTCTAATTACACATGCTGCCACCCTCTGACACTGCAGTGTGACATTGTCACGCACTTTGTTCACTCTGGAGAAATATGTCACCAACACTTTCATGTTAGGCCACCTTCATGCGTCTTCACAGCCACATTTGCAGTTATTCTCAGCCGCATGTGGCCCACGGGCTGTGGGCTGGGCCTGCCTGAAAGGCCTTGTCAAAGGTGTGAGCTCAGGGGTGTCTGGTGAGAGGGTGTCGCTCTCAGGTGTCTGCGCAAGAACTCCTTCCCTGTCACCTCCGGGCTTTAGTTACCTGGTCAGGGTGGCACAGGCGACTCATTTCTTGTTGGTTACTTTAAGATTGGCGCTCTCTGCGTGCTCTCTCCATGACCTTGCTGTGTGGCCCGGGCCACCCTGTTTCAGCCTCCGCAGTGCCCAGGGTATCTTCCGATGGCCTCTATTTCCCTAAGGGGTGAAAACGGAGCTGCCGCTGCAGACAGAGGTTTCTGATAGTAATGGTTTATTTTAGTGGGTAGGTCTTCACGATCTCCGGTGAGGGACGCTTGAGGCTAGCAGTTGGGGAAGTGCAGTATTTACCAACTTCAAACAGTGTGTGTGACTTCTCTTTCTAATAGAGCATTAACTTGTTCTTTCCCAACACCTAGGCACAAACAGACTCCAGTTTCTCCCTTGCTGTGGTCTTTGCTGATCCTTGTTTGATCTTGGCTGAGCGTTAGCCACGGAAGGAAGGAGAAATGTTTGTCTTAGAGACCTGGCTTCCCGTACTTCCTGTGCCAGTGGGTCTTTGAAGGCAGTGAAGTTTTCCAGGGGAATCTGGCACGGTTTGCCCTTTCGGTTTAGTCTTTTCTTAAGAAGTTACATTAGGAGCATTTACAGTTCCCGGTTGGAAATGTCTGTGCTTTTAATTGAGCTGTATGACTGTGGAGAGAACTGCTCTATCATACAGCCGTGTCTTGGCAGACTTGATGGGACATGTGAAGACTTCCTAATTGATTTAAATTCAGTTTAGGCTGCTGGCACCACCAGAATGTTCGCGTCTAAAGCAGCACACCATACATTTATCTGAGTTTGATTTCTAGTAAGTAGACACCTTTGTGGACAGCATTTCCACGTGGGAAATGAACCATAAAAGTAACTTGCTTGGAGCAGACCGTGACATCGCATTGTAGAGGTGACTGGGAGCGTGTGAAGGCATGCCTGTACTTCATCCTCTTAGACATGGGTTATCAGCACCCAGTCCTGTCTCCTACTGAAGGGACCTGGGTTTTTATTTTTAACCCAAAAGTTGACCTGCCATAGTTTTGTGGGTCCAGGACAAAGAACAGTCTGGTGGGCTCTCTTCATATTATTTATTATAAATGATTATTCACAGACGTAGTAGGGCGAGCTTCTTCCCATGCTCTTGTCTTGCTCTTCATCCCTCCAGAGCAGCATGGCAGAAGGCAGGTGACAGTTGCAAATGCAGTATTTTGTGTTCCAGGAAGGGGACCCTGAGTGTGAGAACTCCATGGAAAATGACTGTCCTGGTTCCACTTCTGTTGCTGTGAAAAGATGCCCTGACAAAAAGCCAGTAGAGTGAAGGGCTTTGCTTAGCTCACACTTTTGGGTTGTAGGCTGTCATAGGGAGCCCGTCACATGACCTCCACAGTCAGGAATGAGGAGAGATGGTGCACGAATGCCCCCTTGTTTGTGCTCATCTAGATTTCTCCATCATGTTTTAAAACAGACTTTGAACAAGCTGCCCGAGTTGACTTTTGAGGGAGGCACCCTTGCTCTGTGGGACAGCAGAGTGCACATTGCTCCAGGAAGAGGCTCTGTGTTCCCAGTTTATTTCTCCTACAAACATTCATGACAAGACAGTTCAGGACAGAAGGCTGCTTGTGTCTCCGCATTTAGGATATATCTCCCAGGAAACTCTGCTTAGTTGTGTATTCCTGATGCTAGTGGAAAAGCCTGTCACTGTTTTATCGGCAACACGTCATGGTTTCCTGTGGCACGGGGAAGCACTCAAAGAAATGGTGGTCCTCTCGCTGCCACTGTGTTGAGAGTAATAATTTGGTTGTGAAGGATGCTCTGAGGGTTCTCTCTCACCTGCCTATCCATTGGATTTATGTGTCTTATAGACACTGGGGGCTGGAGAGAGGGCTCAGTTTGGAAGCACCGACTGCTCTTCCAGAGGTGCGAGTTCAGTTCCCAACAACCACATGGTGACTCACAACCGCCTGCAGTGAGATCTGGTGCCCTCTTCTGGTGGGCAGACAAACATGCAGGGAGATCGGTGTATGCATATTAAATAAATAAATCTTTTTAAAAAAGAAAACAAACTGTGGGTGACCTCATCGGTCTCCTGATTTCCACGTGCCCTAATGACTCTTTAGCTCACCGTTGGTGTTCAGACAGTCTTGGAAGTCTTACACCCCTGACAGATTCAGGGTATTTGGGGTAAAATACTATATTTGATAAAAACCTTATTGTATCATAAAGTTAGAGGTTTGGAGAGACCTTTAAAAAACACCCCTGACAACTTTCCACACTTGACTC